ACTAAATTCTCCCAAAACTAATGAACCAATAAAGGAATGGGCAAGTGAGCTAAAAAGAACTTTCTCAAAAGAAGAAATTCAAATGGCCAAAAAACACATGAAAAAATGCTCACATCTCTAGCAATAAAGGAAATGCAAATTAAAACCACACTAAGATTCCACCTCACCCCTGTTAGAATAGCCATCATTAGCAACACCATGAACAACAGGTGTTGGCGAGGATTCAGGGAAAAAGGAACCCTCTTACACTGCTGGTGGGAATGTAAACTAGTACAACCACTCTGGAAAAAAATTTGGAGGCTACTTAAAAAAGCTAAACATTGAGGGCTGGGATGTAGCTCGGTGGTACAGCGCTTGCCTAGCATGCCTGAGGCCCTGGGTTCGATCCCAGCACCAAAAAAGAAAAAGACAAAAAAAAAAAAAAAAAAAAAAAAAAAAAGCTAAACATTGATCTACCATTTGATCCAGCAATACCACTCTTGGGGATATACTCAAAAGACTGTGACACAGGTTACTCCAGAGGCACCTGCACACCCATGTTTATTGCGGCACTATTCACAATAGGCAAGTTATGGAAACAGCCAAGATGCCCCACCACTGACAAATGGATTAAGAAAATGTGGTATCTATACACAATGGAATTTTACGCAGCCATGAAGAAGAACGAAATGTCATCATTCGCTGGTAAATGGATGGAATTGGAGAACATCATTCTGAGTGAGGTTAGCCTGGCCCAAAAGACCAAAAATCATATGTTCTCCCTCATATGCGGACATTAGATCAAGGGCAAACACAAGAAGGGGACTGAACTTGATCACATAAAAAGCGAGAGCACACAAGGGAGATATGAGGATAGGTAAGACACCTAAAAAATTAGCTAGCATTTGTTGCCCTCAACAGAGAAACTAAAGCAGATACCTTAAAAGCAACTGAGACCAATAGGATAAGGGGACCAGGAACTAGAGAAAAGGTTAGATCAAAAAGAATTAACCTAGAAGGTAACACACATGCACAGGAAATCAATGTGAGTCAACTCCTGTATAGGTATTCTTATCTCAACCAGCAAAAACCCTTGTTCCTTCCTATTATTGCTTATACTCTCTCTTCAACAAAATTAGAGATAAGGGCAAAATAGTTTCTGCTGGGTATCGAGGGGGTTGGGGGGAGAGGGAGGGGGCAGAGTGGGTGGTAAGGGAGGGGGTGGGGGCAGGGGGGAGAAATGACTCAAGCATTGTATGCACATATGAATAATAAAAAAAATGAGAACTCACATCTGTTAGGATGGCTACTATAAAAAAACAAAACAAAGGATAACAATTGTTAGCAAGGATGGGAAGAAATTGGAACTCTGGTAAAATGTTGGTAGAAATGCTTAACAGTACATCCACTATTGGAAACACTATGGCAGTTGCTCAAAAAATAAAACTACCATATAATCCAGCAGTTCCACTTCTAGGTAAATATCCAAAAGAAGTGAAATCAGAATCTCAAAGAGAAACACTCCCACGTTCATTGCAGCATTATTGATAATAACTAAGATACAGAGAAAACCTAAATGCTCATTGATAGATGAATGAATAAAGCAAATGTATTGTAGAAATACAGTGGAATATCACTCAGCCTGTAAAAAGGAATTCCTGCCATATGCAACAACATGGATTAACCTGAGGGACATTATGCTAATTGAAATAAACCACAGAAAGAAATACTACATAATTCCATTTATGTAAGGTATCTAAAATAGTCAAACTGATAGAAACAGACTACAATGGGGTTGGGCAGGGGCTGGAGTAGGGGAAACAGGGAATTGATGTTCAATGGGTGTAAAGTTACAGTTATGCAAGATGAATATGTTCTAGAGACCCACCATACATTGTGCCTATTGTTAACAATGTTGTGTTGTACATTTAAAAATTTGAGGTTAAATCTCATGTTACATGTTTTTACCATAATTAAAAAGAAAATGCTAAATGAACAAAACATCTCATTGAGGATAATTATGACAGAAGAAACATTAAGTAGTGGCAAGAGTAGTACCTGGAGAAAATTCATGGAGTTTCCAGATGTGATTCTAGGAGTTTAAGAGGGTTTCTAAATTCCTCAACTGTTATTCCCCCATTGAGAAATGATGGAATTGGAGTAGGTGATTGCTAATGCTGGCTTACCTTCAGAAGTCTCTGAATATGCAAGTCTTTATACAGCAATGCCTCATTCCTTCCAACCTGTCTCTAAACCCATTTCTCAATTTTTCTCTAACAAGCTTATGCCTCTCTCTGAATTTTATTGTTTTAGCTACTATTCTGCATGCTTTCATAATTCTATGATGTTCTTTTTCAATCTATACAATCAGTGTACTTCTTGGCTGTCCTTACAGTTCCATGAAAATATTGTCTGAATTTGGGCTGTATATGTAAGAATTCTGTACTTAACAAGATAGACTCTGATTATATCTAACAGGTTTGTTTTGGTCCATACTAAACCCAGTCCAATTCAACTTGTTTTCCCAAGAACAGCTATTGCTCCACCCTTCCCCGTCCCCCGCAGCCTCTTTTTTAGGGGCTAGCCCTGAACTCCTGATTCTCTACCTCTGCCTCTTCAGTGCTGGGATTACATGTGTGTACCACCATTCCCAGCCAAGAATGGCTGTTCTTGCTCCTGATTTCATTCTTCAGTTTTTCATTTAGTAACTATTTTAGTCTTACAACAGTGAACAAGGCAGACATGGGCCTTAATTGAGTTGTTTCATTTTCTTTTCCTTTTAAACTATTTTTTGTATTGCTCTGTGTTTAAGTTATACAATTCCCAGAAGTCACAAATAAAAATGTCTACAGCAGCCAGGCAGGTAATGAAAACGAATAAAGCAGGCTATTGGACCAGAAGATGCTGAGTAAAAATGCCAAGATTTTTTCATGTTTTCCAGACAAAGTAGAAACCTAGATTTAAAAATGAAACCTGATTTACTGAATTTTGGTACTGAATGAAGATATATTTTGAAAACTACCAAAGTACTTTGTGGGCCAAATGACCAATTTTTGCTGGTTGAATTTGGCCTTTGATTCTTCTATTTAGGCCCTCTGTGAACCTAGGTAAGGCTGAGTATCTTCATTTTATGAATATGCCTCACCATACACTTATACCAATATTCCTAGGCACCCCATGCCTGGTTTCTTCACTCCATATCATTTAATGCTGTTTTTATGCTGCAACTGTAAGAGGTGCTCAAATTGCTTTTGCTGAAAAGCATGGACTCTTTACTCAGGCCCACAAATTAACTAAAAGCAGGAAAAACCATGGCATTTCTCCTTCATTTTATATCTGTCTTTGCTCTAAGTCATTCTCTTCACAGTCATCTTCAACCACCTTGATTCCAGGAAAGACAGAACTGATAACATCTTCATGACAAGGAACTAAAACTATCCCAACAGTAGACCCTCCTCAGGATGGACCATCTTCCAGATAACAATTCCCAATCTGGAACTTCTCCCAAAACAAGAACTGAGATAATGACCAACCAGACCATACCTTTTATCCCTTGACCACAGTTCTTTGTCTACTTAAGCCTACAGTTCATGTCTGTACTCCCAATGGCTAAAGATCAGCTGAGTGCTTACTGTGTCTCTTCTCACTGCATGTCCTGAGCTGTGTAATAAATCACAATCTCTCAACTGTTTCACACAATTTTTTTTCTTTATTCCTGAATTCTGTTCCCAGTACATGCAAGACATAGGGGTAAGGAGGAGCAACATGAAAACTGAAATGAAGTGAAAATGACTTCTATCCATGGTAACACGTGACTGAAAGCAACTTGGTGCTCCAAAGGCACCAATTCTGTCCAATTTTTGCATGCTGATTCCTGGTTCCAGCCAGGACTAAAAACATTATCAGCTGGTGCTGAAAGGAGGAAAAGCACTTGTGCTGGGGAGACACAAATGCAGCCAGCTCACTGCCATGAAACAGCTACACAATGTCACACACCCCTCTCTGAGTGATTACTGCTCTTAACAATGATTTTCAAGTATTCTTTGCTATTTCATTTTTTACTGGGGGCACAATGATTTTCAAGTATTCTTTGCTATTTCATTTTTTACTAAACTGGCCTAGCCTCGTGGCAGCATCCAATCCCTTGTTATTCCCCACTTTTCCTCCTCCTACCCTAGAAACGATGTCCAATACAGCACTGATTCTGCTCTTCCTGGACCCTCCTCAGACTCCTTTGGCAGGAACCTAAACCTTACAAAGCAGGTTTCCTCCTCCTCCTTCCCATGGCTGGGGCATTCTCCCCTTCCTCTGGGGTGTCTTCCTTCTAATTACAAATAAATGTGATTTTGTCGGACTTCTTCCTGGTGTCTTTGGCTTTAACAGGAGACAGGTTAGTATCAGGATCCCCAATGGATCCTTTCATCAATTCTGCTAAATCTTTGCTTCTGAGTGTTCAGATTCACAATTTTTAACAGCTAAAAAGAAAAATACTTTAAAAAAATTGTTGCACCAGCTCATTTCTAGGAAGCAATGTCCCCGTCCCCCCCCCCCGCCCCTCAGCCCTATTATCCTTTAAAAAATGGTATTCGTCTATTTGGGTCGCACATCAGTCAGCTGTGACTCCCTGGGTTCCACCAACATGGAGCAGATGGGGATGTGTGGGCTTTGAGCTCGTAAATTTTTAATGTAGTACTAATTCAAGACCAAAGAGGGCAAGTTGCAATCGTTTACCAAAGGTTTTTCCAGGAGGAAGCCCCGTTTTATCCGTTTTTCCGAGCGTCCTTCGCAGGCAGAGGTTGGTTGGGAGGTGACCTTTTTGCGAGTGGCGGGAAGGGATGGTTCCATCGTCTTCAAGGGCGACGCACGCCTGGACTCCAGCCTGGGAGCCCCAAGCTCCTTCCTGGGTCTGGAAGGCGTTCCGCCTCTGTCCCCGAGGAGGGGGGGTCCCCGCGCGGGCCGCCTGGGCCCGGGACCCCGGGGCTCCGTCTTAGCTCGGGCAAGCATCTGTGCGCCAGGTGGCCGAGGCGCACATCTGCCGAGCCGGGGACCCGCCCCGCCCCCGGCCACGGGGCCCACGCCCCGAGCGGTCCGCTGCCCGCCCAGGCGCAGTGCAGCAGGGCGCGCTCCCGCACGCGCCAGCCCGCGATCCCGCGCACGCGCGCAGGACCCGCGCCGTCCCTCTGAGGCGGGAGGGGGCCGAGAGGGGCGTCACGGAGCCCCGGGGTGGGGGGGGGAGGAGGAGGAGGAGGAGGCGGCCGCGTCGCCTCCGGCGGGGCTCGCGCTCGCCCTAGCGCTCGCCGTCCGCCTCGCCCGAGCCCCGGGAGGGTGAAACGCTTTCTCCCGGCATGCAGCGGGAGGAGGGATTTAACACCAAGATGGCGGACGGCCCGGATGAGTACGATACTGAGGCGGGCTGCGTGCCCCTTCTCCATCCAGAGGTGAGGGGCTGCGCCGAGCGCGTTCCTCCCTCTGCGCCCCTTGGCCCTTCTCCCCCAGACTCGCCGAGGGCGGTGGTCGACGTGTGTAGGGTTATGGGCCGTGCGGGACTTGGCGGAGGGTGGGGAGACCAGTCCAGGCCTGAGCGCGGCTGCGAGCGGATAACGGGGGAGGAGATAGCGGGGCGGTCCCGGCCGGGGCGGGCTCTGGGACGCTGTCCCTGGCCGTGCCTGGAGGACAGAGGTTGGGGATGTGGATGGTTTTACCCTGTCGCCGCAACTGCTCGCGGGTGCGGAGGCGACGGGGCCTGGCGCGGTTTTGGGACTGCAGCCGAAGCCCCGAGCCTCTCGGGGGCCGGGAGGAAAGGCAGCGCGTCTGGTTTTGGTTCGTCTTTCCCTTCGCTAGGGCGAATGACACTATCCCGTCCGTTTTAGTTCACTGTAGGGGACAGTTCCCTGGCCAAAGCGATGTCCTTCTAGGATATGCCATAGGCAGCACCTTCTGTCAGATGCCCTTATTTCAGCATTCGTCCTTACGCGATTAAAAAAGAGAGGTCAGAACTTCAGGGACTAGACCCATGCTCCTATTAGTTTATCACAGAACCGGGATTTTAGGAGGCGGGGGACGACAGTGCACCACGCTTGCCATCACAAGGAGTGTCTTCCCATGTAAGTCAACATTCTCTCCTCCAAGAGCAGTCACATTCTGCACTGTTTACTTCTTAGTTTGTAGCTTGTGGTGTTGGTTCATGCATTCTGGTTTTTAATTATCCACAGTGACGTGCGATGGGGCAATGGCACAGCTTCCAGAAGTGCTTAGGTAGTTTTTGAGGTTGAGAAATGAAGACAAATCAGTGGGTGATTACAGGGTGAACAAACATGGAAGTCTCCTACCTGGTCGCTTTGCATTAAGATGGTTCTATTTATTTCTGCATTTTGTAGCTCCCCCCCCCTCCTCCATAGTAAAATGTGAATAACAACAACCACCCCTATAGGTTATTACTCTTGTCATCTTCTCACTCGTCATTTTGTTTTATCAAAAACAGATGGGACAGTTCCCTAGGGATTGCCTGGGCCAGTCTCAGTAGAAAACGCTACTTTGGATTTCTGACACAACTGTGCAGTAAGACTGAACATTTTTTTGACCAAAGTGGTAATGTTTGTAGAACTGGCATTGGAGAGGTTTCTTTTGGTTTACATTTAGGCCCTAAAAATGTCAAGAAATAAAGTAGTTACAATTGATGCCTTGAAAATATTGCTATGGAATATTTCCTGTGGATCTATTTGAAATGTTTATTCTGTGTATTTTATCTTTTTAAAAAGTTTTTTGGCAGTATTGGGGTTTGAACTTGGGCTTCATGCTTACTTGGCAGACGTCTACCACTTGAGCTACTATGTCAGCATATTCTATGTATTTTAATGTTTTGTGCTTCATAAATTTTTTCTTTGTAAAATAGTATGCTGCTTGTTACTTTAAGAATAATTTTAGCTGGTAATCAAATCCAGAGATTGGTTGATATAATAGAGTGGCCAGTAAGCTTGAAGTTTTAGAGACTAGTCTTCAATTTGCCATTTAAGAGATGTTACTAGAAAATCAACTTCCTCATTGAAAGTAGTGATTGATGTAAATAATGTATGCCACTCCTTTTTACCCAGTAAGCATAAGGTAAATTAGTTTAAATGCTTTGGATCTTAAGTTCCAGAACTATGTGGACTGAGATTTTTCTACATTTTTTTCCTCTGGTTAGTTTTTTGCATTGTTCTGCTGCTTTCTAGCAGTTCCTTCTTGGGCATGCTACTTTTCCGAGTTCTAGCTTCATTTATAAGAGTGGGATGATGATAATAATAACTAATGGTCCATTGACAGCACTAAATGACATAATGTATTTTTGTTGTTAAAACAGTGTTTTCAGTTTCCCTCAAAGAGAAACCTATTAGTAGTTTAAATTCCTCTTTGGAGAGAACATAGGTTTTGGTCAGACAGACTTGGATTCTAATTCTTAGTCTTCAATAACTAGCTAAGTAACTTGAAACAAAAACTTAATTCCTTTAAGCTTCAATTTGTCCATTAGAAAATAGAGAGGTTGTTTAATTTGTTTGACTGTGAGGGATTGTCAAGGTCCATGAACTGGCACAGCGCAGGTGTTGCATATTTGGTTTTCTTGAGTAATAAGAAATTTTTGTAGGCTCTAATTTGATGGAATAGAATCTTGCAGGAATGTTTTATTTTACTTTTAATCTTCAGATTTAATACTGCTACCAAAATAGTTTCTTAGTATTTGTTGAACAGATAAATTATTTGTATGACAAAGGGGGGAAGTAGGGAGAGCAGTTAAAGAATATCAAAGATGAGGTGAATTTGATCAAAGTACATTATAAGCAGATTGTAAATATTACAGTGAAATCCCTTTTTACAATTAATTTATGTTAATAAAAAATTTTAAAGGAAGAAATTAGGCATTGCTGGGCATAGTGTCTTACATTCATAATCCCAGCACTTTGTGAGGCAGGAGGATCCTGAGTTTAAAGCTAGCAGAGGGTACATAAAAAGACCTGGTCTCAAAAAAAGGGAAATTAGCTAATGCTTAAATCTCCCGTTAGTGTGCCAACTTCTCACCGTTAAAAACCTCCTTAGATGATTATGCAATTACATGGACAATGCAGCGTTCTTTTTTAGAGACATTTGGGGTAAGAGAAACTTACTTTATAATGAATTAAATAATCCATTTAGTGAGTCTTGTAAACATTTGTTTATTAGGTTTGGGTTAGGCATTGTGCTGGACTCTGTAAGAATTAAAAATTTTTGTAGTAAATTCAAGGAGAGGGTTAGTGGTCAAGAGCCAAGTTTTTCTGGTGACAAACTGAGAATCTGAGTTTTGCCACTTAATATCGTAATGGTCAAGTTACATTTTCCTCATTGTAAAACTGGTTTATATTGCCTACCTTGTAGAATTATTGTTTTAAGTAAGATAATGTTTTTAAAGCAGCCTTCACAGTCCTAGACCACCAAGCAAATCACATCTTAAGTGAAAACTGAAAGGGAATTTGCTGTTGCTTTGTTTTCTGTTAAAATAGGTGGTTATTCATTTTATCATAATGGAAGAATTAAAGGCTATTTGGAAAAAGATGAACAGATTATCAGGGGATTAGAGCACTAGTCCTATCTCTGTAACCTTGAGCTAGTAGATACTTGACTGCTCTTAGTTTCTTTGCTTTTAAGATAAAGAGACTAGACCAAATGATCCCTGAGATTTCTTTAGACTCTGATGTTCTGATTGTGATTTCTTAAGATACTCAACTGGAACATCTAACCACTACATACATAGCACTGTATTAGGTTATGTGGGTTAAAATACAATAAAAGGATAGTGTGTGTTTTCCAGAAGGTAACAATCTAGTTGGGAACACATATGCACATGAAATACTTGACAGAATCCAAGTAAGTGCTGGGTTGAGTTATGTAGCCTGTAAGTGGTGTCACATTCCTGTCATTGAGAATGGTTAGAAGAAAGACTTTAGTAGAGGGAGAGAGACCATATGTAAGTCTGCAGTCCAGCAGACTTGCTGTCACCACTCTTCTGCTCCCCCGGTAGCACATCCTCGGTAGAAATAGCCCTTTTGTAGAATGAGATCACGATACTAGCTTCTGCCAGAGTATTGTAGGAGCTCTGTGTTTCAGAAAGATCTGACTCATAGCTTTGAACTGGATTGCCTATGTTATCAAGGGCTTTCATCTCTTGTTTTCTTCCTTTTTAAAATCAATTTCAGAACTTTTGCTACTGCCTTTTTTCTAGTTTTCCTCTTTCTGTTTTAAATGGTAACACTTTTTATTTCTTATTTTATCCATGTTCATGTAACATGGTTTTTCTTGCTTGAATATTAAACTATATCTACTCTTCACACTCACCCCGCTCCTTCCCTCCCCCCACCCCCTCGATACCCAGCAGAAACTATTTTGCCCTTATCTCTAATTTTGTTGAAGAGAGAGTATAAGCAATAATAGGAAGGAACAAGGGTTTTTGCTAGTTGAGATAAGGATAGCTATACAGGGAGTTGACTCACATTAATTTCCTGTGCATGTGTGTTACCTTCTAGGTTAATTCTTCTTGATCTAACCTTTTCTCTAGTTCCTGGTCCCCTTCTCCTATTGGCCTGAGTTACTTTAAAGTATCTGCTTTAGTTTCTCTGCGTTGAGGGCAACAAATGTTAGCTAATTTTTTGGGTGTCTTACCTATCCTCATATCTCCCTTGTGTGCTCTTGCTTTTATGTTTTGATTAAAGTTCAGTCCCCTTGTTGTGTTTGCCCTTGATCTAATGTCCGCATATGAGGGAGAACATACGATTTTTGGTCTTTTGGGCCAGGCTAACCTCACTCAGAATGATGTTCTCCAATTCCATCCATTTATCAGCGAATGGTAACATTTCACTCTTCTTCATGGCTGCATAAAATTCCATTGTGTATAGATACCACAGAGAAATGCCATTTTTCTGGTTCAGATTTTTATTCTCATTATTTTGTGAGAATTATCTCAAAGGTACTAAGAATGGACTATGGAGTGGGTGGAAATGAGAGCATATAGTTAAATGTGTGAGCAATGGGGTTAGGCTGCTTTTATTCAGATCCCAATTCTGTCATTTACTAGCTGTGTGACCTTGATCAAGTACTGAACTCTGTCCAGTTTTCCATACGAAAATGGGGATATGATAGTTGCTACTATGAGGTTGTTTTCAGGGTTAAATGAGCCAATACTTGCTAAGTTCTGTGTCTAGTGATTGATAAGCAGAGTAGATGTTAGATGTTACGTGAGAAGAAGTAAATAGTATCTCAGATTGGTACAATTAGTAATAGTGGTATACATACATTAGAGACAATAGACTGAATGGCTAATGTAATTAATATTAGTTGTCTGGGGAATTGAGGAGATCATGGGCAGAGGGCTTTTTATTATCAGCCTTTTGTGCACCATTTTATTGTCTTAAAGATGTATATTTTGATATGAAGA